TCTTACCGCACTCGGATGCAGTGTTCTTAGGCGGGACTAGCTTCAGGCCAGGTCATTGTCCGGAATGTCAGAATACCGGACCTTATGCGGTTAACCGTGAGGAAACTGTATACAAAAACCATCAGGTCATGAAGCTCGGACGGTGGTGCATTGTAATTAGTGCTGTAGGTCATTACACTACAAGAAGCGCCTGGGTCGGTATTACCTGGCCGTATGCCAAGGAGTGTCGAGGTCATACTGAGTGATGATTTGGTCGATAGTGTTAGGCCAGGTGATCAGTGTTCTATTGTTGGAACCTATCATGCTAGGTCAGCAACATCATTCCTTTTCTGGCTTCATCAGCTAGTTACCATAGATACGACAGTGCAGGGAATGTGAGGGCAGGGTTCCCAGTATTCAAATGTGCTATTGATGCTAATTCTATTGTAAGACAGAATGAGATGAAGATAGAGAGTGTTCGAGACGAGGATAAGAGAGAGTACCATTACTAAATACTCTCTGGCATTACAGCTTCTTAGGATATTCGCGCTGTCGAAAGATCCGCATGTCAGAGAGCGCATAATTGCCTCGATCGCCCCATCCGTCTATGGTGAGACCAATGGACTCGAACACAGTCTGGTTGATCATACGTGTCACATTCAGGTGCTACTACGGTGAAGACAGCACTGGCTATGGCCCTCTTCGGTGGTAGAGAGAAAGTAGCGCAGGGTAGACATAGGATAAGGGGAGATATCAACGTAGCTAATGGTCGCTAAGTGATTAACAGAGTGTGAGCATTTGTGTTAGGTACTTATCCTTGGTGACCCGGTGAGCAGTAGAGGCTACAATGTTGGAGTTACTTGGAACCAATTTTCAGGGCCTTGCCAAGTCTCAATGCTTGAAATTCGTTAATAAACTATTCCAGCGTTCAGTGTACGTGGTGATGACAATATTATAACAAAGTCGCACATATGTAGCCGTCATTTCCTTCTGTAGATATACCACGGGTAAGGGAGCTAGTGCTGTTGGCTTGACGGCATCAGTTCGTAAGGATTACCAGACTGGGGAGTATACACTTGAGGGCGGTGCACTGGTACTGGTACCACCCCTATTGCTCTAGTCAACGCGATTGAGAGCTTGTTGTTATGAAGTAAAACTTGGCAGGTGCTAGCTGACAGTGGTATATGCCTGATCGATGAGTTTGATAAGATGAATGATGCTGATCGTACCTCCATCCATGAGGCTATGGAGCAGCAGAGTATATCTATATCTAAAGCGGGTATTGTGGCATCCCTCTCAGCCAAGTGCTCAGTCGTAGCAGCTGCTAACCCTGTCGGAGGTCCGTACAACTGTTGAGCTATTCCCCCAATTCATTCGTCCTATTTATAGGTCGATATAACCCTAGTCTTACCTTCACTGACAATGTAGACCTCACGGACCCCATCTTATCCCGTTTCGATGCTCTATGCGTGATACGAGATGAGATAGATATATTCCAAGATGAGCGTCTGGCTGACTTTGTCGTCTGTACCCATATGCAAAACCACCCTCGTGAGCCTAACGACAACGTGAGGCCTCGGAACCAGGAGACGGAAGCACTATACGAACCCATCGATCAAGACCTTCTGAGGAAATATATCCTCTATGCAAGGTAGGGCGGTCATCATGTATACTGGGAGCAATTACGACTCATCTGATACTGCTGTTGCTGTATAGGACGAGCGTCTTCCCCAAGATATCAGACGTTGATGCGGACAAGCTGGCTAACTTCTACAAGGAGATTAGATCAGCTGCCT